GTGATGTCGCTCTGTTCGAGGTGTGGGTTGGGGTTGAGGTTCAGGGCTCATCGTTCGCTCCCAGACGTCATCAACCATGAGTGCGAGCACAAAAACACAACCGAAAGCTCTCTGCAGGAGCGGGCCAAGAAGGAGGGCCAACCAGAGCTGCAAACTTCCAAGGGCGAGGTCCACTACTTCGAGGAAGTTGGTGCTCCGGCTGCTTAGGTCTTTGTTTTTGGGGGGTTGAGGTTAGGGTTTGGAGCAAGTAGAGGCAGTAGCTGGATGCAAAATAATCCTTCGGCATGCTGCCACCCGAGAGGTTGGTAGTCCCGAGCTCTGAGTTTGTTTCGCAGATGCAATGTACTCCAAACATAGGCCAAAACATTTGCCCTAACCCAAAACCACGGAGTCTAAGATCCCCGAAAGCCCACGGCCACGAGGGTGGGGAATGGGTGCACGACGTAGCTTGAAGTAAGGCATCAGGAGAAAGGTTCAGGAGTTTAAGATGTACGGGGCGGTCCGGGAGAAAGGTTCTGTTTACAGAACGGCACGCTCTTCATGTTTACATGGGGTTTCCAGGACTTCTAGCATGTGTAGAGCTTTCGACTCCCACTTAAATACAAGATCACCAGATTCCTGACTCAGGTGGCGCTCCAACCTACTTGGTGGAGGTCGGGCCGCTCCGAAGCCGGCAGTAGCTTCAGCCGAACTTTAGCCAGTATAGAGTATACCCATAAGGCCGTGATGGTTTGCCACTTGTTCTTCGAGTTCCCATGAGCGCTCATAGCTCAGTGTTGTTGTTCTTGTCATGGCTGACATGACATACTGCTGCCGCACAGAAACAAGTAGGGCAACAAGTAGTGTAACAAGCAGTGCATAGGTAGGAGTGGTAGTCGCCGTCGTAGTAGTAGTTTTAGTAGCAGTAGCAGTAGCACAAGCAGGGTCAGTAGCATCAGAGTGGCAGCAGCTGTAGCCGTAGCCGTGGCACTGTGCAGTAGCCGCAGCAGTAGAGTACAAGTTCTTCTTAACCAATTTTGCTACATTTTTTTGCGCCCATGCAAGTTTGAGGGTTCCGGTTTATTCACCATCGTCAACTGTTTTCCAAGGTTTTTCACGTTCGATAGCGTTTGGGGCGTTCAGACGGTTTTCTGGCAGTGCCTTCGTTTCGCAAGTTGGTTTCAGGGAGATGGTCGGGGCTGGCGGGGCGGGGGGGGGGGGTTGATGGGGAACGTCCTCTTCCGATTTCTGGCGGGTGCCCGGTGCTACATAGCCCTCGAAAGCAATTACATATAGTCTTGCGCTGAAAACATGCACAAGAATGGGTAGGCAGAATCCTGCTGATGGTTTTTGATGATGTTCGGGACGATGATGGTCATGACGATGCTCAAGCTCAGGATCGCCTTCAGCTTCATCTTCACTACAGTCATCATCACCATCACATCATGAGGTTCAGCCACCACATTCCTGAGCCAGATTTCGGACGTGTGAAAGCAGAATTGGGAATTCCCTTGTTTGGTGTTCATCACATTCATTGCAAACCGGCGTGTGCACCGAGGGAGGGAGGGAGGGAGGGAGGGAGGCAAAAACAGCAAAAAAGTCTTGGGCTCTACACCCTAAACCCTTTTAGACATAAGCCCTAACTATACCCTAAGCCCCAAACCGAACCCTCAAAGCCGACTTGCGCCAAACCCCTGAACTCTTGCACGAGGCCAGCCTCGTCTCCCGCCGGGGAGCTCGGGCTTACCTGCATTACCCCATGTCCGAATCCCTTACCTCCTATCCCCTGAAATGATTTTTGGTTTTGCTTTGGGTGCACTCTCTCTTGCTGCTCTAGACCGTGGCCCTTCGGGCTGTGTGGGTCTGCAGCTCGGAGGCTCGGACGTTATGGTTCTAAGGGCTTTTCTTGCGAAGGTCTGCTACAGAAGTAGGGCATCTATGCGGAATATATACCTTTACGAAACCCTCTGCGGATTACAACAACCAGCTAGGATGGACCTACTGTCGATGACATAAAACCTGCATTACCTTGAGGACCCTAAACTCTTGGAATTCTGGTACATTTCTTTAGTATGGGTAATGCAGGATTTATATCATCAACCGTAGCTCAGCTTCGGGTGCTACTTCCGCGGCATCGTTCGATGGTGTTTGTGCAAGCACGAGGGCGATATGGTGCTAGATGGACGGGTCCCTCAAGCCCCCAAAATGTGAAATCACCAATTAATAGTTCTTACACTAAGCCTACATCTGAGCCTTCAGTCCGCCTCAGCCCAGAAGCCCTAAACCCTTTCAGCACTGATGGTCCAGACCCCCGGCAGCGAATGATGCCCCTCTGGGGATGTCATTTCCTTTGGCTTAAGCATAGATGCTGGCCTAGGGCCTTTGTCCCAGGACCCCCTGTATTTATAACAATAGAAATATCAGTAATAGTACTGAGAAAAGATTAATATTACGATTGCTATCTGGATTCTTATTACGACGACGACTACCACGACGACGACGACTGCCACTGCCACTGCCACTGCCACTTCTGCTACTGCTGCAACTGCTGCTGCTGTTACTACTACCACTACTACTACTACTACTACTACGACGACTACTACTACTACTACTACTACTACTACTGCTAACTACTACTACTACTACTACTACTACTACTACTACTACTACTACTGCCGGGCATGTCTGACACCCGGCTCCTGAAAGAAGTTCAGTGCTGCTTTGGTGTCCGCCGGCCGCCCATCGGAGAGCATC